CGTAAAAACACAAAAAATTATTTAGTCCAGCGCCTGAAGTTCCTAGCAGTTTGATGTGCCTAGTTTTCACAAGCACGACATAGTGACTAGTGTTTTAATTCCAAAATAAATTATAACAAATTAAGAAACAATAATCAGTGTAGCCTATTATATAATATACATCGTTTTGTGTATGTGTTCAGAAAAATGTTCCTTTCATAAATTATTCAGAGAAATACTAAATCAATAAAACGATCCTCTCAAGTGGTGGTACTGGCTTCGAATTCCATTTGGTGCATGGGTGCATGTTACATGTCTCATGTACAAGGTATCATTCCAAATAACTGTATAAATGTATTTGTTGTTTCAGTATTAATTCTGAACTGGAATACGCCAGGAGGTCTAATCCATTACTGCCGAAACGTGACGTTTTTATAAAATTTCCTGCATGCTTTCTTAGTTCCAGACCTTTCTGTATACCGCCATTTGTAATTCTTTCCTCGGCTTTTAAGATTAGGCTGTCTGACCTATTGCAATTCAAAATTAATTATGACAAATATGAATCCATATACGTAATAGCAATTGACAATGTTGGTCTTCTGGGTTGTCACGCCATGTGGACATGTAGGTAGCTACAAACGTTTTAAAGAAACATGCAGTATGTTTTTTTTCTTCTTCGAAATTGCCGAACTTCGTATCTGCCTATATGCGCACCGGCTTTACAACTCAGAAGACCTAGATCGATACCTTGATCGACGTGGAAAACTCACATATTTGACAGGAACTTTTTGTAAGTGATTGGCTCACGTGTAATTACTAATTACTTCGCAGTTTTCTGTTATGTTCTGTTCAAATAAAAATTATGTTTAAGAGAAGCATTCTTCACATGTTCTTCCCAGAACGTATACCATACGGTTTATATTAAAGGAAGGAGATAAATTTATTTTCACTCTGCCACGTAATTACTAGGGGACACATTTCCACATAGCAGTGCAGTTCTTATATGAAGGTCTCAAGGCTCACATAAGCACAGACATTTATTAACGATTAAAGCTAGTAGGAGTCCTAGGGTTAGCAGCAGGGAACGCAATAATAAATAAACTGGCCATGTATCATATTTAGCGACCTGCGACTAAGTCATGTTTTATTATATCTGTTCTGCGCTTGCTAGTGAGAGTCAGGGAGTTACAGTTTGCATGCTCGGCTCTGGATCGGTGGCACTCAAACTCCTGTATTGAAACTTACTACTAGATCTTAAGAGTCGAGCTGGCTTATGTCCAGCATCCATTACTTTAAGACATCACGTGTGTTTTCATTCATTCTAATATTCAAATATCTCACGCAAACACAGTGGATAGCATGACATAAGTAACATGTGCTTGTTTTTATAACCCTGAGGATGGAGGTAGCAAGCACGGCTGAAACGACTTTAAAATTGTATCAGACTACGCGGTTCAACAACCTAGAAGACAGTCACTTTTACGTGTTTCTCTGCTGAACAATTTTAGAGAAACGTAAAATTTGGTTTTGTTTTCCAGCACTTCTGGATGCAGGGTGCTAGAAAAGTCCACCGCCTTCTTTTTTCTGCGACATGCAAAATACACATGACTTTAATATTGCTGATCGTTAGAGAGGGTATGAATGTTGTTCTAACCCCGGGGTCTGTGCCAGGATTTGTAGATGGGAACGAACAATCTGCAAGGCAGAGAGGGTTTTCCTGGCACGACGCATCGGAATTAGTGACTAATCTCCTTCACCGCTGTATGTGTAAAGAACCTTTATCATGTGGTCCAGAGGACTTAGGACCCCTACCAGCAAATGCTGCACCAACCGCGGTTATTGGACTGTTATTCTGCTCACTGTGATGACAGTCAGCTAGAAAGGTAAGTTCAAGTAACTTTACAATGTCTGACTCCAAACGAGTGTCAGAATAATCGCGCAGTGGTAACATGACAGAAAGTTCAGATCTGATATGTTTAAATATTACAATTTAAACATAACATGACCTCGAAATGTAGTAATTTTTAATTCGAAGCTTGTTTTTTTACGTAAAGCGAGGTAAATAATTTTGATGGCACGTTAGAATTCAAACCAGTGACATTTTCCTGGGGGTTTTCATTGTACACTCACGACAGCGTAGTATATAAAATCTATATAGGTCTATGTTTTATGGCATTTGTTCAGAAATATTCAACAGTCAAATTCCGAAATTTCATCAGTTGTTACTAACCAACTGACCAATTGATTCTGCAAGCAGTATGTCAGACTTCTCCCTTACGTTCACCTCTGTACATCTAAATGTCTTCCTGAGCACTTTGTTTTCAAATATTTGAAATATATGCTGTTCCATAAAAGCGAAAAGAGTAACGATTAATTAATGAATCTAAATGTCTGTAGATCTGTTGAAACAGATACCGAATAACCAGTATGTATGTTGTATATTTTTTATGGAGAGTAATGTGCACGAGATATGGTGCATTCCATGATTTTGATATCTGTAAATATGATTTGTGTTACTGGTAGGAATTTCAGTCTTGTTACTAGACTACAGTTAACGTTTTGAAATTTAGTTTAAAGACCGAATTCATTTCATTTGTAAAAATTGTCAAGATTAGGTCCAAACAATGTTTTCTAAAAGGACTGTAAACCAATATTTCTAACGTATTTCCATAATGTTGATTAATGTGATACATTTAATTTATTCATAACTAAGAATATTTCTGTTCATTAGTGATATTACAGCCTTATGATGGAGGCAGTAAGTTCCTCTGAAACATCGAACTATCTACCAGATTACATTACTCAGATAAATCTGGAAATTACAACATCGTAATAATTTTAAGAGGTTGCATTATGAAATGAACATAGTCAAGCTAATTTATATATTTGTCATTTGCTATAGTTATTTAAATTGTCATTGTCAGTAATTCTATGAACGCTTTGGAACTCCATGAACTTCCACTGCTACAGCTACTATGATTAATCAGTTACTTAAGTCATATGAGGTTACGATGTGTTTATTTTTCCAAAAAGTTTCACAAATCTGTTAATATAACGTGATGCTCGTTAAGGTTTAACCACTAGGTATTCAACTAAAGAATGCATTATCAGTGCATTTCTCGTATTAGCATTCTCTAGAACGAGAGTTTCGTAATCCATCGTTAATGCGCCCCTCCCCTGCCTTGTCAGTTGAAGGGTTGCATGAAATTATATGTGCCGGGAGGTAAGCCGGATTAGACCGCGACGTGTTGGGGTAGACGGATTCTGTGTGTGCGAGAAGGCGGCAACTTCTTAACAATAAACATTTTGTTGCCGGACTTCAGAAAACTTTTGTCTCTACACTGGTGAAGTGTTCTTTGCTGTAAACACATGTTCATACATGGCGTGTATCTGCTTGCATCTGCTGTCCGTCCGGTCGCCGTCTCTGCCAGTCACAACATGAGTTCCATCGAACGTAAGTAAATACCTGAACAGTGACTTAAAATAGGCCATGACCACTTCCTTTCATAGCCTTTCCAATTCATTCTTCATTAATCATCCTAGCATTCGACGCAATATTGTCTGGGCTATCGAATCGACTTATAGAGGCGTCAGTTGGAATATTCTCCGTAGACTAAGCCAACCCTGAATTATATTCACAGGTCACAGTGTGACATATCACTGGTAGTACATACGTTGGAACCGGGCATGTGACGACTGTCTTAGACGCTGATTTTCATGTTGAAAATAATTATATGCATTAATCAAACATAAAGGTAATTAACGTGAACTTACCTGTTGAGGTGCGCCATTTCATTTATATTTCGTATCTAATTTCGTATGATTCGCAAACACGCATATCAAATGCCGTTCACTGTAACCTACATAAAAGGATTTCATACGCCAAACTAATTAAATTTCTGTCATTTGCACCGTAGCGAGAGATGTGATATTTTCTCATACTGCATAGAGATGTTAAATATACCTGGGAAGAATATATACTGTATTATGAATTAATCCTGCTTGTAGGTCCTATGTGGAACAATATCAGAACATAACTACATAACTATACGTCGTTGTAGAGGTTCCTTACTTTGTACATCTTAAAACAACATTTCTAATATGAATGATTAGAAACAACAGACAAAGGAAACAGCTCTCAAGTCGATAGTTGTAACTATGGTATAACATAACATAAATATGTTAAGAGAAAGCTCTGTCTGTCCGTCCGTCCGTCTCTGTCGTGTTTCATGTCCTAAATTACTCAATGGGATTATTTGAAAATTGGTATTGGCGATCTGCAGTGCAGGTTGTAAAGGGGTTTGTATCAGCCTATCGATTCTGTACTTAAACTGAAGATCAAATTGATTTTTAAGACCCTTGCAAAACGTCGGTATGTCCTATAAAAAGCAGACTCCACTGAATTCTGCAGTTTATTTAAATTATTTTCAAATGTATTTAACAGTTAACGACCCTCTTTAAATAACAAGTTACTGTGTTTTTATAATGTAAAATAATAATTCTTAAGAAAATTCAAATGCTCTCTTATTGAACGTAAGAAATTTATCATGTAGAAACTTATATCCTTTCTTAGCTCATCATGATTCCGATTGACGAAACAATATCGGATTGTGTCAAAGCACGAACCTCAATAACATCGTCTATTCTTTAAAATCACGACGTTTCGGAGGCTGGTTCTTTCTCCGTCTTCAGGTGAGAGGTACCTACTCTGTTGGGTCCAGTGACAGAGACTAGCTCTATCTAAGGGACCCAACAGAGTAGTTACCTCTCACCTGAAGACGGAGACAGAAGCAGCCTCCGAAACGTCGTGGTTTTAAAGAACAGACGATGGAAAAAGTTCTGACAATGAATAATTTTAAGTGTAAACTACCGTCGTCAAAACCCTTTAGATTTGATTTAACGAACACACTGCACTTGATGCGAATAACATGTTAGCATGATTGCAGTCATCATATATCTTTTCGTGAGACTAAAGTTAACTGCACTGCGAAATGTAAATCAGATATCTTCTTTTGTTGCAGTGTTATCCGCAAGGAAATACCTTGTGAGCAGGTTTTGCGTTTCTGTAAAGAAGATGAAGGAAAGCAACAGCGGCTATAAAAACCCGAGACTGGAATTCATCACGTGGGATTAAGTTGCAGAAGTTGGCAGATGGGGTAACTCTTCCGGGAAAAGAAGGTGCAGGGAAAATTGTGGAGGATTATGGACCAAATTGGCCAGTGTCTAAGAAAGAGGAAATTCATCCGTATTGTCAGACTCCTCGGATCCAACATCGGATAACGTTATAGCTGGCCCTACTTGTTGATAAACTATCAAGATCTGTAAGACAATGGTAAACTGTGGACGCATTCTCTGATGGATAAAATAATCTCGTAAGGGATGAGTTACAGCTTATGCAATACAAACAGTTGATATCTGCTCTGTGCAACTATTCAAAAGAATGATCAGTTTGAACATGCAATTTTCCTGTTAAGATGTAAAACAGAAAGTGAAAAATCCTTGTGATTAATAAGTCAGATTTTCTTCTTACGCCGTCCTTTATCTGAGATCTAAAGGTCTCACCGAGGTAAAGAACACCACAAGCGACACCTCGTTTATACTCACCGAAGATGCGCTGTTCGTTCATTGGAAACAAGCCTGGACATGCGTAATCCGTACCTTTGTCCTCGAAGTTGTTTGCAAATCCTACATTCTGAATGTTCCTAGCTGACGTAAAAAATACCACTTTATATTCGTACATTGACTTATAGAGGCAAGCATTACCGTCAGTATCGTTCACATGACCGTAAAAAAAACACTGAAGACTATGTAGAAACATAAACGTATCTCTTCGAAATAAAATGTATTAATCGAATCTTATCTAATTATCTTACTATCAAAAAAAGAAACAGACTAATTTCAAAATAATGCGCAAACATTTCGCAATTGTCATAAATATACATAGACATAGTTTTAAACGTTATGTTATTTGTTATTCTGCTCTGTTAATCAGACACTGACCGTCGAAGACAGTGTAGGTTAAGAGGGCCTTGATTTTTTTTTTACTTTGATGTGGTCAGTAAGTGCAATGTTTAGCCTGTATGTTGAAATTCTCCTAATCTATACACCTTAAATGAAACGTATATCTTAAAAGATGGTGTCAGTTATCTTACGTAGATAACGCCCATTTCTAACATTACGTGTGTTCTTAATGTATATTAAACTCTGTATATAAGTACCAATATAACGGAATACAAATTTTCCCTATGGTAAAGTATTTGACTCGTACCCATGTGGTCATGGGACTGAATTCTAGTCAAGAAAAAGTTTTGTTTCATGCAGATGCCAGTTATATTCCAGAATTAAGTTTATCTTTGTACCGTTGTTAGGATTAAAATTGTCTTCAAAGAAGTCAGTAAATTTCCTTTCGGTCTAACACCGAAAGCTGCAAAATGGATTGTTTAAAAATGTTTTTAAGCATCTTTTCAAATTGACTTTCACTTCTATATGCATATCACTAGAATCAACTTAAAAAGAATATAACATCATAACGTAAATTGCATCTTGGATACGCGGATTAAAGAAGACAATTCCACGAACAGTGGACAAAAACACCGCGTGTACGAAAAGAACTCGATGCATTTCAACACGCAACAACACTCACCTTCTGACTGCAATAAATAATACGGAAACGAATGTGTACCGACTACGGAAATACCAACTTTGAAACTCGATAAATGCTTCACCCCTGCTACATATGAACTGTGAATAAAGTTTTTGTTTTAAACTACATTTCGCATATTTCCAACCTCGCTCGTTCACTCTGTACCCGATATGTTTATAAAATCGAATGAAATAAACAAAGCAAAAGGGTTTTTAGTTCAGTGACAAAGTAAATATTAGCTAGCATCCAACAGACAAATGACTATTCTACTGGTTTTAAAACGCGAAGCGTATATTCCATTCCCAGTTTACAGACAAATGAGAATATGGGATGTGTTCCACATATGCGGGACAACTGGGTGGGTTGTAAAGAAAAGCAAGGGTGAATCATACATATTCATAGTGACCACAAAACAGAACCATATTTTGTGATTAACTATATGCAGAAACCCCCTCCGTCACAAATTGCATTTGACAACAGATGGGAATTATCCTTATAAAGAACGATGCTGTGCTAGACTTGCTACTCCGGCACGTACGAGGGGATTTGTAACACCACGTTGTACTCGTAGGTTCCGTTTTTATTTGTCTCCTACGCGGCTAGTGACTTTACAGGTGTAAATATCGGAAGCGTCTAGACATGCTATTAGAAGAAGCAGAAATGGAGAATAATACGAAATAGTTAAAATGCAAACATACATTCCGCTGATATTTCTGTGATTAAATTAGCTGAAGTGTTCCGAAAAGAAACTAAATATAAATGAAATGTCCTCCTATGTCAGACATTCGTCTGGAATGATCGATAGCAGACGAAAAGACGCAATCCGTTCTTCATATTGCTGTTTGTTAATTGACGATTATTTTCACAGACCTCAACTACTGGTATAACACTATTTCCTAAAGCTAACAATAAGGTTTTTTGGATGAATTACAAGGTAGGAAAGCTCATTGCCTTGAATTTTAGGTGTTCTACAAGATGTGGCATGAGCGGAAAAGAACTGCCGGACTCTTCGTCAATGCACGTACCGTTCTCTCTATGATACGTTCTCTGCCAGGCAGGCTGTGCAATGACGTGTTACGACAGGGACCGTGTGAGGCACAGACCGAGTCCAGCAGAGACAGTGTGATTCAGAGACCGGGTGAAGCACTGTTCCACTCAAGCAGAGGCAGAGAGCGAGACAAGCAGTGGCGGTGTGAAGAACTGTCCGAGTGAAGCATAGATCCTGTGAGGCACAGAACGGGTCAAGCAGGCAACTGGTGAAGCTGAGTGTCAAGCAGAGGCGCGTGTGGTACAGATCGATATCGTCAACGGGTTAAGAGAGCATTTGTTGCAGAGACCGTGTCTGATGGGGAATAGATATGATAGGTATCGGGTGGCAAAAATTTTCAAAGAAATTTAGGAATTTTTCGAAATTTTCGAAAAATGAAAAAGTGCTGCAAACGTCTGAACGACGCACAAAAAAAAAAAACAAATTTTCGAGAAATTTCGAAAAAATTTTGGAATCGGAATTTTTCAAATTTTCTTGCTTTTATACGCGTTTTGGACATTTTCCTGCATTTTTCTATTTTGCGAAAAGTTTGAAAATTTTTCAAAATTTCAAAAATTTTAAAAAATTTAAAAATGACTATAAATGTCATGAAACGCGAAAATAACTGAAAATTTTTCAAATTTTCGGAGAAAATTTTCAAACGGGAATTTTTCTCCCTACGCCAATACTGCAAGATCCGGTGTTTGCATGGCCCTGTCTCTTTTGCACCTAGTCTCTAACGCTCTCAGCCACTGCCAGACTCTTCTACAATGCACGTACCGTTCTCTGCGAGGCAGGCTGTGCAATGACGTGTTGCAACAAGGACCGTGTGAGGCACAGACAGGGTGATTCAGAGACCGGGTGAAGCACTGTTCCACTCAAGCAGAGGCAGAGAGCGAGACAAGCAGTGGCGGTGTGAAGAACTGTCCGAGTGAAGCATAGATCCTGTGAGGCACAGAACGGGTCAAGCAGGCAACTGGTGAAGCTGAGTGTCAAGCAGAGGCGCGTGTGGTACAGATCGATATCGTCAACGGGTTAAGAGAGCATTTGTTG